CTGCCTTTGATACTTTGGAATACTGGAGACCCTGTTTAATAACATCCTGTATGTGCTTTATCCCCAAGCTCTTGCTGTAGGTGTAGTAGCTACAGTGTTGCAGTTGATATGACTGTAGCTCACTGTGAACCCCTGCAGCTCCACTGCCCTCACCGCCCATTGTTTCCTTGGAGTTAATCTCCAGCTGGGTGGATAATAGTGGTTCCCAGTGGAATGATCTGATTTTATTCTTATAAAATGAGCGATTTCTTATTAGTTAACTATTTTTTCCAGTTCAGGGAATAGAAACAATAAATGTGTGACGATGTTGCTTAAATTCTTTTAGCCAGGGTAAAAATTAATTCATTAAACAGAAAGTATATGTAAGCATCATACTTTTTTTTCCCTCAATTCATTTCAGTTAGCCGTGTGTGTGCGGGTGTGTGTATGTGTGTGTGTGTATGTGTATGTGTGTGGTTGGGGAGAGGTGAGTGTGGAGTATAAGCGCTACCAAAAAATAGTCAAGTAAAATATATTGGATGTTAGAAGGGAGAATGCTATGGAGAAAACTAAAGCTCAAAAGAGGGAAAATTCATAATCCTAATTTCTTTCCACTTATTACATGGGTTAAGACCTCATAGTTATCACTATAATTAGTTTTATGGAAAAATGGGCAGAACTACTTTGTTTATTTAATTTTAATAGTCATTTTATTACTGTTACCACTATTGTTATTTTGGTTAAGTGTTCTAGGCAAAAGGAATAGCATATACATAGAAAGTGGGGATGAAAAGTTCAGCAGGGTGGTCACACAGAGTGGTTCTGGACTGCATTCATAGCAGGATTCAAATCCTGGCTCTGCCTTTTCCTTGCAATATGACACTGGAAGTCTGTTACCTCACTTTCAATATGCAGGTAATACTAGTATCTACCTTATGGGGTTATTGAGATTAAATTAGAAAGTATTATGAAAGTGCTTATTAGCACAATGCCTAACACAATGAAGTTTTGTGTAAGTTTTAGTTAAGATGAAAATAATAGGCCAAGAGGCCTTTACATGAGTTGACTTTTTTTTTTTTTTTTCCGATAACTGCTGTCTTCTGAATAAGATTTGACTTCTTCATTTCACCTTAACAACAACACACTCTGGTATTCATGCAGGTAATGGTTTCCTGGCTTGACCCAGGGATATCCTACCCAGATTATGGAGCACTCCCACCTAGCTTATCTCAGTATCATGGAGCAGTTAGTGGGAATCTTGATATTATTCATGTAAATATATATTTTTTTTATTTTAAATTTTCATTTTTTTAATTTCATTTAAAAATTCACTTAAAATTTTAAATTTTAATTTTAATGTGAGTATAGTTAATGTACAGTGTTATATTAGTTTCAGGTATACAATTTAGTAATTCAATACATTACTTAGTGCTCATCATGGTAAGTGTACTCTTAATCCCCTTCACCTAGTTCACCCACCCCCACCTACCTTCCCTCTGGTAACCAGCAGTGTGTTCTCTATACTTAAAAGAGTTTCCTGATTTGTCTCTCTTTTTCTTTTTTCATTTGTTTTGTTTCTTAAATTTCACATATGAATGAAATCATATGGCATTTGTATTTCTATCACTGAGTTATTTTGCTTAGCATTGTACCATTTAGATCCATACATGTTGTTGCAAATAGCAAGATTTCATTTCTTCTTAATGGCTGAGTAGTATTCCATTGCATATATCTGCCACCTCTTCTTTATCCATTTATTTATCCATGGACATTTGGGTTGCTTCCATAACTTGGCTATTATCAATAATGCTGCAATAAACATAGGGGTGCATATATCTTTTCAAAATAGTGTTTTCATAGTCTTTGCATAAATACCCAGTAGTGTGATTTACTGGATCATAGGATAATTCTATTTTTAATTTTTTGAAGAGCCTCCATATAGTTCTCCACACTGGCTGCACAGTTTGCATGCATCTCACCAACAGCGCAAGTGAGTTCTTTTTTCCACATCCTCGCCAACATGTGTTTCTTGTGTTGTTTTTTTTAGCCATTCTGACTGGTGTGAGGTGATATCCCATTGTGGTTTTGATTTGCATTTCCCTGAGGATGAGTGACATTGGCATCCTTTCATGTGTCTGTTGGCCATCTGGATGTGGGTGAAGTTACAGAAGCTGCCAGTATTGTTACTTTAAATAGCTTATAAATCCTAATTCAGTGACACCTACATTTAATGGTTGAAAATCTGTTTTGTTACTATTCATCTCTTCCTATCCTAATATTCAGCAACTGTAATCTTAGAAGCATGTGCTTAAAATCCTGATATTGGGTAAGATGAGAGAAAATGGATATTACCTTCACATTGTGAAGTAATTTGCCTGTGAGAAGAGGTGAGTGACATGATGACGAAGTCTGTGCTTAGTGGACACTGTAATACATGCTTCCTTAAACTATTAAATTCTTATAACATCTCTGTGAACTGACTATTAATACTCTCTCTGAAGATGAAGGAAGTAAGTCTTAGAGAGACTAAACAATTTTACCCAAGGACAGAGCTAGTAAGTACTGAAGCCAGGATTTGAACCTAAATCTTGATCCAAAGATCTTATCTGTAGTCCTCAAACTTTCAGCTTCATCCTCTGGCTTGAGCTAAGAAAAGTGAACAAAATAACAAATCCATTGGTTTTAGTCCAAACAGTTTTCCAGAGCTTGTTCATGATTTGGCCCTGCTTAGCTCACCAACTGTATTCTAGACGACACACTCCAGTCGCTCTGGGCCTAGCCTCACTAGCTTCCTTTCTGTTCCTCAAGTACCACATATTGGAGTCTTTGCAGAATCTATTTCCTTTCCCTCATCCCTCTTTTCTCTATATGCTTACCTCCTTTTTCTTTTCCAGGTCTTAGCTTAATATCATTTGCCCAGGGTCTACATCCAACCACCTTCTGTAAGGGTCATGACCCTTCCTCATTTAGATTCTCTCGTCCCTCCTGTTTCCTTCATAGCGTATCAGCGTTCAGGAGTCAGTGTATTCATTTGTAACGTCTTTGTCTGCGGACTATAAGCTCTTTGAGAGCAGGAACTTTTGCCCTCTTGGTTATTACTCTGGGAAGGAAATTTAGAATAGCATTTGGAGTATAGTACATTTTGGAAAAGCAATTGAATAAAGAATGGATGAGTAACTTTGAGATGTATGTATTTGTTTCTAATTGGAAACAGTGTTTAAAAATGTTGATGGATGTATTTGAAAAGTAATGTCTTTGATAACTTTGAGGGTTCTAAATCTTCTTTAAATTTTGATCAGGATACTTAGTACCAAACATACACACTATTATAACTTTCTGCATTAACAGATTTCTGCTTTGGTTTTGATATGACTAATGGTCTTTTTTACATAATTAACCTGAAGAAGAATATTATTTAATAAGAATAAAACTCTTCAGCTAATTATCTGCAACAACCTTATACCATTAGAGAACAGCAGTTTTAGTTAGGTAAAGATATGGTGTGCTGTTTAGCCTAATTGAAATATTATAGAAAGTAAAAAAAAAAAGGGGGTAAATGGGTCGATCCAGGTCCGGAAACTCAGGAAAGGACTTTTTCCAAAGTATCAGCTCAATTCTTACTGTATATTTTCCACCCTCCCCCATTATAAGAGATATACACTTATAGGAGCAAGCGATTATATAAAGCACTCAATCAAAACAAATCTATTTCAGAACGAATCAGTATTAATCAAATTTCCTGGTTTATCTCAAATCCATAAGAAACAAAATGATAACTTTCATGGGTACCTTAACACTGAAACCATTGTACCCTAGTCCATCTAAGGCAGATGTACTAGAGACAGAGGACTGTGGGCTAGATGTTCAAATAGAAAATACAAGAAGCATTGGGTTCAGGAGGAAATCAATCATGAAAAATTTTACACATTGTATTTTGCTCCATAATCAGCAACTGAAACTATTGCATATGAACCTCATATGCAGAAATCACTAATTTAAAAAAATTTTATTTAATAAACTTTGGACTTCTATAAATCTATGTTACAAAGGGATTCTTTGTTTCAGAAATGTTTCTTTAAAATATGGTTTGATTGGCAAAAATTTACACATTTAAAAAAATATACCTTGCTTTCATAGCTTCCTAGAAGCCAGGTTCTTTTTCTATAAGACAAAAAACAACAACAACAACAACAATAACAACAACAAAACAGCAACAACCAAAAAAAAAAAAAAACCCAAACCAAATCAAACAGAAAAACCCACAAACCCCCAAAACAAAGTAGACTATGTTTTTATATAAGGAGATACAGGAAAATGGACACATTGCATCCATGTAAACAATGTGCCCAGTGAATATATCAAATATTTTATATAGTTCAAAAGTAGCATTTTTACTAGTAAGCAAATATCCTAAGATCACTGTAATCAAGACCTGTCTTGTCTATTTTATTCTTATTTTCTAAGGTCAGCAGCAACACTGGCTTGCTTGCTTTCTTGCTTATTTATTTATTAATTTACCCATCTATTTATTTATTTATTTTGAGAGAGAGAGCTCACAAGCATGAGGCGGGCTGGGCAGAAGGAGAGAGAGAATCCTCAAGGAGACTCCCTGCTGAGCACAGAGGCCTCCGTGGGGCTTGATCCCAGGATCCTGAGATCATGACCTGAGCCAAAATCAAGAGTCAGCCACTTATGACTGAGCCATCCAGGTGCCCTTGGCTTGCTTATTTTTATATGGTAGAATATACGGACCACAATGTAGATAACTAGGAAATTTAGCTTTCTTCTGTGAATCAGAGGGTTTTCATGCTGACTCTATAGAACTTCCAGTTCTCTGTTTATAGAATGATCCAAGGACATCTCCGAGGAACTCTGCATATTCGTTACAGATACCCTGATTCCTAGAACTGAGAGGGACCAGGGATTATCTTGTCAAAAATCTTCCTGTAAAGATAGATTGTCTGAATTCTGGTGACGATTGTAATGAGGCTTTATTTGTCTTTGTGTGTCTGCATATGCAGGAATACATGGACTCCAATAAATACATTGAGCATCTTCTAACTCAGCTCGAGGAACAACACAGAAATCTATGGAGGTGAGTGAAACGCATGCCTAGAACTCAGAGCAGCCTTGATTATCTTCTGTGTTGATCACGGAGGCAGGGAGCCGGCATACTTTGTCTTCTTGTCCTTAGTGTCAAAACACCTTCGGAATCAAGTCACCAGAGGCTCCTTAGGAAATTGTATTCCTTTAATCAAAGTAAAGCAACAGGGCCAGGAATTGTCCTTGAGTCAAGGACCTGCTCAGAGCCAGGAGGATGGTGGAAATCATGACACTTTGTCAAGGTCAAGAAATTAATTTGTCCAAGGCTACATAACTTTCGTTGTGGAAACTAGAATCCAATTCTCTGACCCTTGTCTGCTTAAAGATTAAGATTTTTATGTAATTGAAAAGTTGAATACAGCTGCTTTAAATGTCTGCTTCTCTTCATATTAATAGAGAATATTTTAAGAATGCTGTTCTGTAGGCCTCTTGTGTTTAGTTTTTTGTTCTGTGTGGTGAGTTCTGATGCTCGGTGAAGAAAAGTATGGGAGAACACTGGTGCAGGTAAACTGGATAAAGAGGTTAATATCATAAAGGGCGTATTCTCAAGTGTCTCGTTCCCTCGGGCCTCTCGGGAATTGAGGCTGATTGAAATGATTGAGTTGTTATTTTCTAGATCTTTAGGGCCCCGGTGCTCATGCTCTGCATCCATGCTCCAATGGGATCTGCTATTCCTTTTCCTAAATTACTATAGCTCCTGTTATTTGGAACAAATATGCTAGGGTTTAATTACATGATGGCTCACATTGTACCAGAATTGTTTAATGTAATTAGCTTTGTCTCCTCAGGGTCAGTAAGCCCCTGAAGGCCATTATTTCTTATTTCTTGGCAGCATGGAGGAGATACCCAGACAGGGTGGGTAAAGATTTGCTAACCCTGTGGCTTTCTTGCCAACCTCACCCAAATGTATCACCATCAGTCTCTGTACCAGGCTAGACTGCCCCTTCTTCAGGCATCCCCAAAACCTTGAAATCTGTCCTCTCTGAAAGATTGTAGTTCTTAGTCTTAGTGCCTAATAATTTCATTTGTTTTGTCCTTTGTATTAGTTTCCCTGCTAAAGAACAGATCTGTGCTTATAGTAGTAGACCCTCTATTTCTCTGTATGGAAAAAGTAGGATACAACAAAAGTAAATAATTTTTAAGTCTGCTTCCTATTAGCAGACATACAAGTTAATTTTATATACCTCTGTGTGATACTGTTAGATGTGTTTTTGAGAGCTATAAATGGATTTGGTAAAGTTTTCTTTTGTAAACCAGTGTATTTTATTAATGAAGACAGCCACAAATTATTTATAGCTATGTATCTTTCAAGTTATATTTCTCATAGATCTCCTCCAAGGTGCAAAATGTTATTTAAATGAATTATATAATTTACTTCCAACTCTTTATATAGAATATTTGGTTTTCTCTATCTTTTGAAAGAAAAAGTATACACAAAAAAATGATGAATACCATCTGATGAAAGAAATTAGACTTTAATTTGGTCAGTAAGCATGTCTTATATACATCATTGGGGAGGAGTAGAGTTCCATGGGTCTTTGAACCAAAAAAACTTGCATGGAAAAGAATGTTTTCCTTCTTTGATAAGGTAGCTAATAAAAATCTTTTGGTCTTCTTGGATTAGATTAAATGAAAATATAATTTCAGGCATAGACTTAACCTAACATAAAGTAAGAGCTCAGAGCTTTGTGTGCTATAACTTCTATTTTCCTTCAGAAATAGAATTATTGCTGCTGAAGAAGCAAAGCCTTATACATAGTGGCAGAGGATCTAATAAAAAAGCTTCATTTGAATAACAATAAAGGGCAGTAATGACATTTGAATAGCCAGAAAAACTATCAGGGAGAAGACGGAAATAGGTCTTATTGAAAAGAAAATGAAAATCAATAATAGCAAATTTATATACTATTTATTGAATCATTAAATTATCCTTGATTATATTTTATAAACAGATCTTGGCTGACTTGAAGTGGTAGGCTTTTTGATGGTTAGTACAATGTCATAACTGCAATTCTAGCCAAATTATTTTTGGGTGAAAGCTATGCCAGTGAGCGTACAGTGAGCAGGGTGGGGAAATTCTTACTGGTTATGATTAAATTTTTAAAGTACTTTCTTGAATTAGGGACAATCTATGATGTGTAGAGGTTTGTAAGAATAGCATGTCATATACTCAAGCACAATTGGATTGTCTGAAGTTAAAAAAATGTCCCCATAAGACAGTATAAACTTTTTTTCTGATTTGTATTATGCCTTTGATTTGTAGTTGCTACAGTTTTCATGGAGTGGGCTATTATCATTGCTACTGATCTTAACTGACGGTCTTCCATTTATATTTCAACATACATATAACTTAGATAAATCCTGAATACTTAGATTTCTTTTTTTTTTTTGAAGATTTTTATTTACTTATTTATTTATTTGACAGAAATATCACAAGTAGGTAGAGAGGCAGGCAGAGAGAGAGGAGGAAGCAGGCTCCCTGCTGAGCAGAGAGTCCGATGTGGGGCTCGATCTCAGGACCTTGAGATCATGACCTGAGCTGAAGGCAGAGGTTTAACCCACTGAGCCACCCAGGCGCCCCAGATCTCTAAAAATAATTGTATTCAGCATTAATTTATGGCTACCATGTTTGAAGATTGATCAAAAGCATGATAGACACATGGCATACTATTGCTATTTGCTTAATGATGAAAGACTGGGACCGATTGAAGATTTGTTATAAGATTAGATACAAAAAATAAGTCTTTCCTTTTTTTTCCATGGAGGTGGCTACTACTCTTTAATAGGTTGTATCTTATAACATAAACATCTGCGGTGACACAAATATATTGTCCTAATTATATTCTTAGAATAACTGGTTATTTTGGTGCCTTGTTTAGTATTCTACTGAAATAGACCTATAATCTTTCTCTGGTTTTCAAATTGCAAAGGAATTTGAAGTTCAAATATAGCTATCTAGCAATGAGCAGTCATTTAGCTCAAAAAAGACTTTTTGACACCAACAGAAAACTCTCATGTGAATTCATCTGAATAGGTAGAGTCAGAATCTAAAACCCAGTGTAGTAGGACTTGAGCACAAGTCTGGGTGGGTCTTCTTTGCTTAGTATCTCCCTGCTTGATGAAAAAGAAACATTCCCAGTGACAACTAGTTTACTAGTAAATGTTGAAATGGGAGGCTAAATTCTATATGTTCATATGTTTTAATGTGTATAGTTAAGAATAGGAGAAAAAGGCTCTTTTATACCTAATGCTTTTTATATCATCTGCTACCATTTCTGATTTGGCTAAATATATCTGACTGACAAGAGAGATTGTAAAAAAAAAAAAACAACAGCTACTGAAAAAATCTTTCTTCTAACATTTGATAGAAATTTTTATCCATTCACAGATTCAGATTAAGAGTTTAGAACAAACACAAACAGTTGGAAGATACACACTGAATTCATGAATATTTATGGTGTTAATGACTCTTCCATATCACATGTGAAATTAAGTGTGAAAAATGGAAGTGGCATAATACCATAGAAATGGAAAGAAGACTGTGAGTTTTGGAGCCTTGGACTCTTGGCTTGGCCTCCCCAAACTGGCCACAGGGATATCATCTCTGGAATGAGTTTCCTTTTCTGTAAAAAGAAGCTATCAGTAAAGCTAGTATCTAAGTTTCCTTAACACTGAGATTATTTGAAACCCATGATGGTTAAGATAAAACATTTCTATAACATGTACAAATACATGTTTAATCTTATTTTTCTCTAATTATGCAGCTGGATCATTTTGTAGTATTTAATGCATGTATCATAGAAAGCTTCCAAGAACATAAGTAGAAACCACTAAAATAGCAAAGATACTTAATGGCTGGCTAATAACAACCAGACAATATCCAAGTGTTCAGTTCAGATTTTCATATCTTGAATTGGAGACAGTGTTATTAATAGGCTGTACATAAAGAATAAGGTTTGCATGGCCAAAATTAAATGACAAGATCTGCTGAATACAAAGTGCCAACTACTAGCCCACAAATCCCAGATCAGAGTCCCATTTGAAAAAGCTAGGGATTTCAGTCAAGGCACTATTGACATTTGGGGCTAGACCATTCTTTACCTTGGGGGATGGGAATAAGGTTGTCTTGTGCATTTTAAGTTGTTTAACATCATCCTATCCACCACATTCCAGTACCAAACCCTCTGTTGGGACAACCAAAAATGTCTCCAGACATTTTCCACATGTTCCCCAGAAGTCAGAATCCTCTTTCCTCTCTGCTGAAGACAGTAATCCAAATGATCTATGAGCATATTCTTAAGCACATTCCAAGAAAAATGAATGCCCCTGGTAGCTGTTACTGATTTTTTTTTTTTTAAATCAGTTACCCTGTGGTCAAATTTGAGATATTCTAGGAAAACCCAACTTTTAAAATGTTTGAATTCTACAAGTTTATGGAGTCACTTAAATGGCTAACGTGTGCTATGAATATCAAATATGGGATATAAAATAAAACTTTGACTTCTTAAAAAAAAAAAAAATCCCATCTTTCTTGCAGCATCTAGTCTGACTAAAGTTCCAAAGAGCACATTTTGAGAAATAGTGATCTCTCCAGTTCAATAATGGAATATACAAAAACGTGGTTGTAACTATTTCTTCTCTCTTCCTTTTACCTCACTGGTACTGGGATGGATACTATAATTAAAGATCAGCTAATAGTTAGGAATCCAGGTTTTTAGTAAAAGGGGAATATAAACCTAGGAAAAGACCATTTCTAGTTCAGCACCCATTTTCCTGAGTGGCAGCCTAAACCTCAGTAACAAATTCCAAGTATCTGAACAACTATTGATTACAAGCGATGTTGGCCCGAGTAAAGCATTTAACGTCTTCTTCCTCAAGGGGAAAAGTGATGGTTTCCTACAACCTCAAAGGGAATAAGATGCCTAATTAAAAACCATGGATAGGTCCTTGTTGATATAAAAGCCCCTAAGGCCTACCCCTTACAACAATAAA